AATAAAATAAAATTTAAATTGTTAATAAGGTTGTGGTGAGATTACAGGAATGTTTCTTATGTCTGATTTACTCTGTAAATCACAAACCAATAAATATCTTTAAATAGTATGCATCTAAAACTGTTCTTTTAAAAACATTACATCTTTGGAAAAAATAACTTCTACCAATAGTTTCTGATTCTCAGGAAAAAAAACTAATCAGTTAATTTTCATAAAAATTACCAGCAAAACGTGGTATAAAGATAAAGCTGAAAGTAGTTACATCAAATAATAAGGCAGTACTTTCTACTTCATAGAAATATTCAGCACTCAAAATACAGCAAAACTGTTCATGGCTAGTTTCCCGGCAGGGGCCCGTAGTCCCAGGACTAGACAGGAGAACTTCAGTGCCGTGATATAAGGTCAGCCTGGGCCACGCAGTGAGATGCATCTTTTAAAAAGTAGTAAGTTTTAGTTTCATAAAATGCACACCACTTAGGATAACTAGTGCATATCCACCATGCAAAGTGATTTTTACTTTGGAAAACTGAATGAGCAAAAGCTTCTCTTCAAACTGGCCAATGGGGAGGTTAAAGCTCACTCTACCTTTCTGTCCCTCTCGTCTCTGCTTTTCCGCCGTTGTTGTTCTAGTCTCTGTTCTCTTTTAACATCTTCTGCAATCTTTGTCAGAAGTAACATCTCCTTCGTCTTCCATTCCTACGGAGCACAGGATTTTTACACTCAGTGTATGCTCCTTACCCAGTGATACCTTTATGTTTTGTCCCAACAAAGAAAATTAAACAAGTCAAGGGCTTAACAGGAATCTGGTCAGACAGAATGAAAGGCAATCATTTGTTTTAGAATGGGCTTCTCTCACTACACTCCTATTGGAAAGTAGGTATGATTATTTTTACTAAAATTAAATTTGTAAAAAATTTCCTCTGCAAACTGAGGGTTTATAGGACATTTAAATAAAGTCCAGTAACTTTTTCACACTACTCTTTCTAAGAGAGGTTCACACACACACACACACACACACACACAATTTATTGTATTTACCTCATTATTTTATGCAAAAACGTGTATGAAGGTGTGAAGAAAGGGTAATGGTGTTATGGTTTGTGTCTAGACATCCCACAAAACCTTCTGCAGTCATGGGGGTCAGGTTTTTCAGAGGGGGCTGAATTAGAGTTTGTGACTAATTCATGGTCCACTGCTAGGATTAAGGGTATGAGTGCTATACAGGTAGCCTGCGTACAATATAAGGGAGAGGACAAGGCTTGTCCCTTCTACTCCATTGTTGCTTTTGTCTTCCACGGCCACGAACTGCTGCCCCTTAGCCATGTGTCACCTTGCCTTGGTGCCAGCCGAGTATGGACTGAAACCTCTGCAAATTATGAGCTAACTAAACCTTTCCCCCTTTAGCTTTGGGTGTCGGGTATTTTGTACCAGCAATGACAGAAAAATTATGAAGACGAATGTGTAGAGATTATTTAGAATGAAATGACTTCCACATGACGGTTAAATTAGCTACCAATGGAAAAAGTCATACGCAAAAATATATTAAATATGTTACTTCTCACCTCTTCAATTTTTCTCCGAAGAGTAAGTTTTCTTCTCATGTGTTCCCGCTGTCTTCTCTCCTCTCTGTCCATCCGGAGGAGGCGTTGTTCTTCTGCTGCCCGCTCAGATTGTTCTAATCCTTTACTTATCATGTCCAAATATCTGAGTAAGAATGAAAATGTCACTGAGGCTGAATCATGTTTCCCTCATTATAGCATCATACTTTCTCACATCCTCAAATTATTGCTTTGCATTTTTTGAGCTACAAGAATATTTTTCTGTCAGTCCTGCTTATGAACCTTCAAGGGAGCCTGCCTGACATTTTAAAGTCTTTCTGTTGTATGCACATTAGTTCCCAAGGCAATGATGAACCATGGAGCAAACTAGTAAAAGCATTCTGTACAGTGAGGGTTCACAATTCGGTAGGTTTAGAAGCAGTGATTTGCAAAGAAAGCTGATATAACTGGGGCAGTGACTTTAAATATAGCAGAGCACAGTGGTCTTAAAGTCTCTAAAAACAAAGTGGGTACCAGTTTCCTTGAAATTTACAAGTCTTTGCACAAATTTTCCATGTACTGTTTGGGTCTCTAGCACATCAATATATCATAAGGCTCCTCCAGGAAATGAAATGATAAAAGTATAAGTCAGATATGGATCACAACCCCTCACTCACCCTAAGAAATGGACTAGGCAAGCAGTATTAATGACTGGGTGTGACTGATGTCGGAGTGAACCTCTAGTCTTTTTTAGGGGCAACACATGTTTACAGTTACATCAAGTATGTTAAACTTCTATTTTTGGCTTTGCACTAATTTCTTCAAATTTAATGGTGTCAGTCCCTAAAGATGGATCACAAAAAAATTTCTATTATGTGCTGCACATGCTGAAATTATTTTCTTTCCTTCCTCTTCTCTTTGTAGGATTTTAAATCTGGTTTTCCCTTCAATTATTCATTTACATTACTTCCTAGGTTCTCAAAAAGCTTGATTTCTCTGGTAGAAACTTCTTATTACAGTCTTGGCTCCAGGTTTCCCAATTTCTGTCCCTCTTGGTCTTCCTTTGTTCAGGCCACAGTAAGGGCTACAGAGAAACTGCCCTGCCTAGATCTGTACCGGGATGTCCCAATTTACCCTAACCCATTACATACATGAAAAATACACATTAATTTGAATCTTACCTGTGCCTTATTAACTGCTCCTGGTCCTTAATAGAATGGGTGCCTTCATGCAACAGCCAGTTCTGGAACTGAGTCATACCAGAACACTCAGGGAATGAACTGTTTTCCTCCAATCTCTGTAGTTGCCTTGCAAGCATTTTCTATTTATAAAAAATGTGCATTGTAAACATACAATGTTTTGTACACTTCCCAGGAATAAACCCGCTAACACTCCTACATTTTATCAATGATGAATTGTTTAACTCCATTTCAGTCCATCCTTTAGAGACATGGATACTAGAACCAAAATAAAGATTTGTCTCTTGGAAGATAAAAAATAAGTATTTTATTTCTCCTCTTAAATAATTAAATGCAAGTATCAACATATAGAGGAGAATGTCTAGGCAAAGAGAAGACGAGGGAAAACTACACAATAAAAGTAGAGTGAGCTGGTTATTTTTATCCTACTCTATCAATCTTACAATATAAAAATGTAAAAATCACACTTTCTTCATTGTGAACTCTTGTCCCAACCCTGAATTCACTCACTCACACACACATTCATGCATACAGAGCCCACATACAACTTCGAGTCAAAAATCAAAAGGGAATCACTGCTGCCACTCAACAACCTAGTTCCATGTTCAAAAGAATGCTTTATAGTAGATAAATACAAGTGTATGTGTGTGGGTACAAGGCCATGGTGTACATGTCCTACGGGTCACTTGTAGAACAGAACGGATATGCATACTTCCCTCCTCCTACTGCTTAAACTGTTTTGGGTTCCAGTTGTAGAATTTCGATGTCACAATAGACTGCTTATTGGTCACAGTTCAAATGGAATTAGTGCATTTGCCTAGCCACTTAGTTACCAAATCGTGTCAGCTACCAATGGTGTAATACTACAGACTTTCCCTTTTCTTTTCTTGGGCAAATATAGCAACCTCCAAGATGTTGCTTGTTCCTGCTCTAAGTTTTCATTTATTTTGTCAGTAAGGTCAAAATATTGTAAGAAAATATTTTACAAAGAAACAAACTATTCTTCCAAATAACTTAAACCAAAATTAAGTGCTTAACTTACTTGTTCTCTTACATAGTTTCTTTCAAAGTCTAATTTTAAGTTGGTGAGATATTGCCTGTACTTATTCAATTCCCTCAAGCTACACACAATCTGTAAACAACAATAAAAACATATAAAAATTATAAATGTATAAATACTTAACAGTGATAGCAACTATTATCCAGAGGCTATCAAGTAATGGATTGCTGGCAAATTCATAGGTACTATCTCTTCACATCTATTAATCAATAAGAAATTTCTGTCGAGAAATACTGATTTAATAACATAACCTATGGTTTAGAACAGAATATATTACTCACTAAGAATTGGCATTATTATTAAATATTATTATCAAAATAATTATTAAGATAATAATAATAATGCCTATTAATTATAGCTGGCATGAAATTGTAAATGTGATAATGTTCAACTGCTGTGAGAATTATTCTATCAAGATTCTTACAAACTAAATGTTTCTATATTCCTATTTCATCTCACATTTTTTAAAAAATACATCCATGACAATTGTTCAGTCCCTTAAGAGACAGAGAAAGAAAACTAGTTCTAGCTGACTAATATATCTGTACCTCATCAAATTACTTATCAATCATCTTTTGATTTTACAAAGAAAAAAGTTAAAAATGAAGCAATTCATGCGCAAAAAGCTGTTGTCAGATTTCTGACCCAAATACTGAGTATTTGATCCAAATACTGAGTATTTCACGGGACTGAGCATGAATTATCCTCCCACAATCAAGTTGACAGTGATACGGGCCCTCTAGTGAGATACAGAAGCAAATGTCTACCAAAATTCAAAGGTTCGGATTTAAAGAAAAGTCATCTTCAACCCACTTTATTATTGCTGGTGATATAGCCACCTTTCTTCAGTCTCCTCAGGATATCTTTGCGTCTATAATATGCTTTTAAGTGTGGATCGTGGAGACTTTTATATTGGTTTTCCAAAAGTCGACAGTAAGGGTCTGTCAGGTTGAAACCATAGGAAGGTCGAAAAAGCTGCAAAGACAGATTCAACAGTTACAAACATAAAAGTAATGCATTTTCATTTTTCTGTAACCCACTGAAGTGGGCAGAAAATAACATAGGTGGGCAGAATCTGAACTGGGGAAACCACAACAGGAAGATCTACTTTGAGCAAGTAACTACCTTTCCCTTCTTCTTCTACTCATCTTTATGAATTATTCTGAAGACTCAGCCTCACTGAGCAAGCTCCTCTGACTCACGTCAGCCTCTCACCCAGAGACTATGAAGAGGAGGGAAAGGAAAAGGAAGGGAATTGTGTATAATTAATTCCTTCATGGTATAAAGCCAATGCTTGGATTCTGCCTTTTCTTTTCCCTCTCCCAGATCAATGTACCATATTCAGAAAATAGAAAAGTAGTATTAATTATAACATCTCAATCATCTACAAGGAAAAGAATAAAAAATTACTGTAATTAAATAGAAACTAGTTGAGGAAACAATATGAGTAAAACTTAAGTGTTAAATATTTCGAGTTAAAAAGATTTTGTATCTTGCGGTCTTTAATGAAAGAAACACGGTCTTTTCTGAGTACTAAAGTCATAAGAAAATTCAAGGTTTATTGTACAGTTTATCTCATTTCAGGACCAATTTTAAAACATATTTATAAGAAGTCAGGTTTCTTCATATATGTAAAGACCAAATAAAACCTTACAAAACTTTATAAAAGGACAAAAAGACAATCAAGTAATTGTCAAATTTCTTTCACTTTAGAGAAAAAGGCTGAGGTATTCAGTGTGTTTTAGAGATTAGAACACTACCAAAGGGAATTTGGGGGATGCATTCTTAGTTAATTTTTCAAAAGTAAAATGGCAAACGTCTTTCATTTTGAAGGGACCTCTGAAGGAGGAAAAGTGAAAAACGAAAGTAATATCCTGTTTTAATCCCAGTAATTAAAAAGAAATGCCAGTGTTGTCCTTGCAATTCTTTCTCTTTTAAGTTTTGGCCACAAAAACAAGTTTTAGTCTAAAGCAATGTCAGGAACCAGGTGAACAGTAATTGGAATATGTGGAGATTGTGAAAAACCAGAGGGCAGGTTTCCTGCATGCAAGTGTCCAACACAACTCGTACTGACACGCAACACTGTGTACCAATCCATGTACAACTGCGGGCACCGTTTGTGATTCCTGTGTGCAGTTTGGCTACAGCTGCAACTGTGATTCAATTCTGAATCATCCCAATGCTGACTGGATGGAACGTTACAAATAACTCCCAGAAAGCAGGTAGCATGGCTTTGTATATGAGCAAAGGGGCACATAGGGGAATTGGAGCTCCACCTTGACATTCAAACGCTTCTTTGTTAAATCTCTGATCTCTTGCTTAAAGCCAACCTTTAATCCCGTCCAAATGGCCTGACCAGAAACACAGATTGTCTAATCACCAAATGGATCCCTGAGAAAGCAAAGAAAGGTACTCTACAGTATAATTCAGTGAGGCTAAATATGATGCTCTCATCTCCCAGGGGGAGGGGGGAAGGAAATCAATAATAAGTTGCTTTCTTTATGTTGCAAACATTCAAAATACTTTCTTCTAGCTTTTTTTAAAGAAAAAAACCTACACTGTTATTATCCAGTCACCCTATTGTGCAATTGAGCTCCAGAATGTCTCCTATAACTTACCTTGCTGTGTCCAAGGAGAACAGATTAACTTTCAAAAAGTTCAATTATAATATTTTTCAGAAATGATACACATTTTAACAGATCATGTTTACCAGATATTAGATTGAATGTATCCCTCCAAAATTCACTTGTGGAAATGTTAAGTTCCAGTGTATGGCTTTAAGAGGTGGCACCCTGGGAGGGCATTAAATCACAAGGGTGGAACCATCCAGAGCGGGATGTGTGCCCTTCCAAAAGCCCTCAGAGAGCTCTATAGCTTTCTTTCTGCCGTGTTAGGGCTATAACAGAGGCCCTAACCAGAACTCAACCATGCTGGCACCTGCACCTCAGACTTGCAGCATCCAGAAAAATGAAATTCTTGTCATTTTTTTTAAGGTACTCACTGTGATTTGTTATAGGAATGATAGGAGCCCAGACTGACTATGAAATTAAACAAGTATAAATGACATTCTTGTAGAACTTTTTATGATACTAAACTAAATAAGCACTCAACAAGAACATACTAAACCTCCTTCGGAATCTGTTACTTAGTCAAGGGCTGTGACGTTCTGGGGATGGAGGAGGGTTGCAGATTAAGACATGAGAATGTTTAAGGGAAGTAACCATTGGAATACAGCATGATTAAATGTGGAATGAGATCATTGAAACCCCAGACGTGACTCCAAGCAGAGATAAGCTCACCACAGGCTGTGACCGTTCACAAATCTTGAAGAATAACTCAAATTCACAAATTAGGGTGAAGAAAACAGGGTACCGGAAGGATTAGGGTGGGAATGGATCGGTGGGTGTTCAGAGAGGTCGAGACGTCGTCCTGGAGAAGTTAAGGCGGTTTTGAACACAAGGCTGGGAGGAGAGTTTTGGGCAAATCGCGCGGCTGTCCCCTCATACAGGCAGGGCTGTCTTCCATTCTTTTGAATTACACTAACTTCAGGAAGTCATTACAACCCTACGCTGTTTTTTAACCTCTTGTATGAAATAGTAACGCAACAAAACGTTTTATAGAGTTCACTCTGCGTTACTATTGTTAGAATCTTAACATGCAATCAAATGCCAGCCGGCAGGGATAGCGTTTCACTTTTCGATCAAACGTATTTCTAAGCAAACTGGAACTCGCCACACAGGTATATATGAAATTTTATTATTTGAAAAGTTCATATGCTTCCAGAAGTTATAAATTAAGACAAGACTAAGGGATTCAAACTCGATGAAACTGCTTCTTACACCTTCTCAACAAAAGCTTGAGTTAGAGGTGGCTTTCACCCTGCCCCAGGAATTTGGTCAAATTCTACCAGTCGAGTTTGGGTGCCGTCACCGATGTTAAAGAAAACTAACAAGAGCCTCGACGACGAGTTTACCTTTTCGCTTAGATTCGTGGTGAAGAACAGAGGGTCAGTTCCGGGGATCAGCGGCAGCTTCACCCCGAGGGGCAGGTCCAGCAGGTGAGCTGCTCCTACCTCCCCAAACGGGGTTTTGTGCGCCCCCTGTCGGACGGCATCGGAAGGGTGAGCGTCAGGGGATTCTCAGCTGCTCCAGCGGGGTCCCCCCAACAGCAACCCAGAAAGAGCCCTCCCAGCCAGTCGTTCCCCTTTCCCGTGACCCCGAACTCTCCAGAGTCCCCGAAAACTCTGTGACCCCGGGTACCCCGAAGGCCCCGAACCCCCCCAGGGTCCCGAAACCTTTGGTGTCCCTGAACCCCCTTGACCCGGAATCCCCAGGGCCCCCCAAACCCTGTCACTCGAAACCCCTATGTCTCCATCCAGGGTCACCCGCAAATCTGGTGACCCCTAAGCCCCGTGACCTCAAGCCCCAGGGTCCCCCAAATCCCGCGACTCTTAACCCCAGTGACCCCAAGCTCCAGGGTCCCCGAAACCCTGTGACTCTTAACCCCCGTGGCCCCAAGCCCTCAGGGTCCCCGAAACCCAGTGACCCCTAACCCCCTTGCCCCAAGCTCGGGGTTCCCCCATCCCGCGCCCCCCACCCCACCGCACTCACGTCCCCGCACTGCCTGCTGTCCGCGGCCAGCGTGCTGGTGGCCGTCCTGGAGGAGGCGCCGCGGGCGACCTTGGCGCAGGCGCCCAGGTACAGCTCCATTCGGCCCTCGTCGCCCTCGTCCCCGCCGCGGCCGCGTCCCCGTCCCGGTCCCCGTCCGGACCGCACTGGCCGCCGC